TTTTTTTTTTTTTTTGTACCAGGGATTGAACTCGGGACCTTGCGCTTGTGAGGCAGGCGGCGGAACCATTGAGCTAAATCCCTGGCCCCTATCCTCTGGATTTCTGCTGGGTCTGTTGTGACTTCCCCTTTTTCATTCTTAATTGCATGGATTTGAGCGTTTTCTTTCCTTTTTTTGATAAGATTGGCTAAAGGTTTATCGATTTTATTTATTCTTTCAAAAAACCAACTCTTTGATTCATTAATTTTTAGTATTGCTCTCTTAGTCTCCATTGCATTGATTTCTGCTCTGATCTTTAAAATTTCCTCTCTCCTATGAGCTTTGGGTTTGTGTTGCTCTTCTTTTTCTAGGAGCTTGAGGTTCTGCATTAGGTTATTTATTTGAGTTCTCTCTGTTTTCCTAATATGGGCATTCACTGCTATGAATTTCCTGTGTAGAACTGCTTTCATTGTGTCCCACAGATTCCTGTATGTTGTACTGGCATTATCATTTACTTGTAGAAACTGTCTAATTTCTTCTTTAATATCCTCTGTGACCCATTTAGAAAGCATTTTAAAAGACTTTCTTATAATTTTCCCAGTAACATCCATTTTCTAGATGAGAGCACTGGGGCTCAGAGGAATTAAGTGACTTATTCTCAGGGAGACACAGGTCCTCAGAAGCAGGAGCTGCTAAGCTGAAGCACACACCTAGGTTTTCTGATCTCACAGCATAGGTTCCCATGGGTCTCCCCTGAATTCTCCGTCTACCTCTTGCTCACCTTCACCCATCTTGTCTTCCTCTTCCCCAGGTGGACCATGGACCCTGTTCCGTCCTCACCTCCGCATTGCCTTTTCATCCCTCACCTCCCCACCCAGCTCCCCTCACACCCTAGAGGCTCCACGTCCCCTCGCCAGCCCCCAAAGTTCCTTGGCGAATGTGGTGACAGACCTGACTCTCTGTTTTCCTCTGGTGTCTTTAGCACCTCGTGTTTTGTATAAAGCACCTCATTTCCTATCTGATCCCCGACCTCCCAAAAGACCTAAGGGATCGAATGAGAAGAGAGAAGTACTTGATCCAGGAAATGATGTATGAGGCCGAACTTGAGCGCCTCCAGAAAGAACGGAAGGAGAGGAAGAAGAATGGAAAAGCACATCACAACGAGTGGCCATGATGAGGTAAGGGGAGGTGTGCACCCACCCAGAGCTGCCTCCCACGGGGGGTGCTGCTTTATTCTCCCCGAACAGAGCTCCCCTTTGTCCCAGCAGTAGGGACCAACATATATTTCTTGGTCTCTGCTTTTAACATTGCAACTTGATCTTCCCTCCCAAAGCCAGTTAGTTTCTTCTTTAATAATTGCAACTCCCTCTTGCACACACCTCCTGCCCCTCCGCCTCCCAGACTCCAGCCTGGCATAGGGTCTCCATGAGGGGCCCAGGTATTCACTGAAATAAACCTTATTCTCCCTTCTTCTCCAGCCAAGCTGCTCTGATATCCCCCATGCAGCGTGCCCTTTCTCTGAAGTCTGCCTTTTATCCACCCAACACGGCTTTCCCTCTGTCACCCTGCTTCCTCCCAGGTGCTCCCCGATGCACTATACCTCCCCCATTCGCTGCCCAGTGAGACTTACCTCTCATGGTTAATTCCATCAGAACCACATGGATTGCAATATACTGATTTATATTATTAACGTATGATCTACAAATCGTTGTTAGGCTTCCTCAACATAGTTGTAAGCATCTTCAGGGAAATCTCCAGATTGTAAATTTTATTCTTCCATCCAGCACAGCATTAAGTACAGGATGCCTAACAGATACACATTCAATTGATAAAGGTTGTGTATTCTTCAGGTTTCTCATCACTGAGACACAGTGCTGGACACCTACAACTTACAGGAGGATTTGGCTCACAGTTTCAGGGGATTCATTCCATGGTCAGCTGGCTCCACAGCAGAAGCATCATGCAGAAGGGCGTGCTGGTGCAAAGAAGCTGAGTTCTTGGTGGCTGGGAAGCAGAGCAGGGGAACAGCACCACAGAACAATGGCCCAAGGTCATAACTCCATGACCCACTCAGACACACTTTACTAAGCCCCTAGGTTGCTCCCAAGCCAATCAAGTTGACACAGTTATGCTTAACTGGGGTGGGTGGGTTAAGACTAAATACACTGTAAGAAAACTCCATAATGTTCTCACACATTCTTTCAGAAAATCTCACACTTTCTCACTAGCAAGTCAGTTATAGCTGTGTGATCTTGGACAAGCCACTAAACTTCTCTGAGCCTTACTTTCCTCGGTGATGAAGTGTTTAATGAGCTCTCTGATCTGATACTCTGTGAGTCTAATATTATTACAAGATTTAGCCCTCCTTACCCCTCAGTTTTTTCCCCCTTATGTGATTGAAAACTAACTTTGAAAACATTTCCGAAATTTGATATCCAAAGGAAAAATGAGATACATAGGAAAAAATATGGTTTTCGCTTTTCCTATAGGCCACGGTATAGCAGATATGTGCAGAGATGTTTGTTGATAAGTTAGTGAAGCTGTATCGACCCAGCTCTGTGTTAACAGTCCAACAGGCTACTATGAGGTGAATCTGACCATGGAGTTGGAGGAAATAAGCCAGACCCCACGCCCACATGAATAAAGGTGGTAATAGGTGTTGAACACTAGCCTTGACCTCAAGTCCAAAGCAGGCTTTGGATTCACTGAAGGCAAGAAATATTTTGCTACTTAGTAATCTTGCCATTTCCCAGATCTGCTCCTTGGCTGTTACTCTGGGGAAAGTACTTAACTTTCTGAGTCCGTCTATTAGACAGAATTCATATGCAGCTCAAATAAGACAATGCATGGGAAATGTTTACTAAGCTGTAAAGGGCTGTAGAATTCTGTCCGGGGTTTGCATTTCTGTTAAGCATCGCGTAGCAGTTTGGCTAGTTCTGTCCCTGGCTTTTCCATTCACATAAACTGAGCATTCACATAGACTTGGTCTTTACATTTGCAAAAGTAAAGAAGTTGTACCAAGCAATACTTCAGAGGTGATCTGGCTTTAACCTTCCGGGAGTCTGTGATCTGATGCAACCTGCAGCCCCCTGCTCATTCCGGCAGCCTCCTCTCTGCTGTGTTCCCTCTCTGGAGGAGAAAGCCTGACTATCCAGACAGCTCCGGGTAGAGGGGGAAGCAAATGTCACCGAAGGGATTTGCGCCTGAGAGCCCCAGTGGCCAGGGACTGAGGTGCTGTTGGGTGGCCTTATCCACACTGGGGCTTCCCTTAGCTATAAATAGGCCACCTGATGATTGGGGTTCCTTCTGCCTTCACCCCTGCGGGCTGCTTTCTTCCTAAAGGGGCCATTCCTCATTTTTGCTTGAAAGCATAGCATTTGTCTCTCTCTCTTCCCACCACTGCTGGCTGATTGTCACCTTGCTTCAGGCTCCCTTTCTCACTCAGTCTGTTCACCTGCAGAGCGGGCATAGTAATGCTTACATACCCCCGACCTGACTAACTCTTTGCATACCTTTGATGCATGGTAAGTAACCGTCGCCTACCATGTTGTTAAGCCATCCTGTGTGCCTAGGAGCTTGATGCCTTCCTTCCTCTTTCCAGGTAATAGCTCATTTCCAGGCCGAGGACCTGAATTTTGTTTACTTCTCCTGGCTGTGCAAAAAGCACATTCAAGTGAATGACACAAACAATGCAACCGCAGTGCATGTTGTAGACTCGGGCAGCTGCAGGCGGTCGGCACCAGCCCGGGATTGAGGTGGAGTCACTGCTGTGGAGCCGCATTGCAGCCCCGCCCACCATCGCTGTCCACCCCTAGACCATTCCTGACCAAGCAGCATGCACCGCGCGGGCAGTTCCATCCTCAAGTTTTTAAAACCAAGGGGAACTTGTATACTGGGCCTGTTTTTCAGCCTGTTTGCTACCTTTTTTTGCACTCTATCCCGTGTGAATTTTACAGACACTGGGCTCCAAAGAGTATTTGGACACCTGGACACACATTCCTAGAATGTCACCATATGGTCCTAACTCCATGTCACCAAATGACACAGACAAGATCCTGTTTACAACGACTCTTTTCTTTTCTTTTTTTAATTTCTGATCTTTCTGAGGAGATGATTATCTATGGCATATCTATAGCTATATGTATGGCCATAGATGTATTTCTGTGTGTACATATGTATAGCCGTGTATTCCTACATATGTACATACAAATACAGAGATATATAAAGTACATAGAAACTCCTGACTTGTAAATAGCCAAAAGGTACTGACATGAATATGAATTTTCACACTTAATCATCAACATGAAGCCATGTTTAATGCTTGTATAATGTGATGCAATAAAATTTAAAATAAATTTATGCACATGAAATATTTTCAGCTGGCTCTTCTGAAATTCTGTTGTATTTTCATCTCACAGAATAAGAGAAATCATAGCAGCATCGAGTCTTTAATGCCAGGTCTGTCACTCCCACACACGCCTGAAAAATTACTTCCCCCTGCCGAGAGACTGTTTTTCTTCCCCACCTTCTTAGGATACCAAGCAAATTAATGAGAAATCACTACGAAGAGCTTGAGAAGTGTCATTAGCACAGTTTGTAGAGGAAATAGGAAATATAATCGTTGAGATTTACAGTGCTTTTATGACTCTGCTTACTAGTATGCTCTGCTAAGTCTGGGAAGGTGGCTCTGCCTGTCTGGGGAGAGGGAGATGTATGTTGTAATTAATCTTCCTGAGAGGCAGAATATGTCTTTTAAAAAATATGTATCACCTACACAACACAATGTTTTGATATGTATACATACAGTGAAATGACTGTTATAGTTGAACACATTTATGTATAGTGAAATGATTGTTGTAGTCAAACATGTATCTCCATCAGTCCATTTTCTGTGTCTGTAACAAAATACTCGAGGCTGGATACTTTATAATGAAAAGAGGTTTATTTAGCTCACAGCTTTAAAGGCTGAAAGTTCTAGATCTAGCAGCTCCATTGGTTTGGCCCTCTGGTGAGAGAATTCCTGGTTACAATATGACACGGCAGAGAAGCAACAAGGTAAACAGTCACGTGTAGAAGGAGGAGAGTTCACAGTGAGGCGGGAAGCCAGAGATTCAGAGATCAGGAGTGCTCCTTTGATAGCAGCCCACCCACAAGAACTCCCGGGGGTCTTGGGAGAAATACAGTAATCTCTTCCAGTGACCTGACCGCCCCTGCACCTCTTAAAGTATCCACCATCCCTGCACCCACACTCTGGAGAAGGGGCTTATGGCACATGAACCTTCCGAGGGAACAAACAAGGACCAAAGCAGTCACATTCCCCAGTCATCCCTGGGTGTGTGTGTGTGTGTGTGTGTGGCCTTAACTATACCAGTTGAGAGAGGTGAAAGTGCCCCATTGCCGTGTCCCTCAGACACTGGCTCACCTTGGTGGTGGATTCACTGGTGCCCATTCCCAAGGACCCCGTTGTTCCTCCGAGAGGGGAACAGTCATAGTGGCTTTGGGTGAGCGAGAACTTCAGCCTTACGCCCTGTCCTCTTCCTAGGGCCCCATCTCGTCTCACCTCCCGGAGTAAAATAGCACGCCTAGCAGGGCTCAAGCTAAAGACATGCACTTTATGGACACTGAAAGACAGGAGGTCTGTGAAATAGTTCCCACCAGCCCTGGGGAGCAGAATTTGCAAAGAGCACCTCAAGAGACAAAACGCCAAGTGATGCTGCCGAAAGATGGCTCGTTCTGACTCACCATTGTAACCTGTGTTTCTGTATCCAGAGCTCCACCCCATACCCCAGGGCCGTCAGTCCTGGGATCTGACACATGCACAGCTGCTCCTCTGCCTCCCGGTGGATGATCAGATCAGAGTAATAAACGTTTGTCTCCTCGTCATTCCTTTGTGTTTGGAGTCTTCAAGCTCCTCTCATCTGGCTACACATACAATTTATGATAGTTTATTGTGAACCATCACACTCTGCCTCACAGGTACACACAATTATACATTCTGATCCAGAATTTTTAAAAAATGCTTAAGAAGATGGAAATGTTAACTACCCTGACATGACTGCTCCACACTGTGTATGTGTATTGAGTTGTCACCATACCCTGGACATTTGTACACTTGAAATAATAGATTTTGAAAGCATCTTTATTAAATGAATGCATGCAAAAAACAAACAATATAGCCAGCAAAATATTAGCGTCTGTTTCTGATTAACTTCTTCCCTCAATCTTGATGGTTTGAACATTTAAGAAATAAGACATAAATGAGTATGCCATAATTTGAGAATTTGGTAATCAAATCTTATGAGTCTTCTTAAGAATATTCTTCACACTATAATCTTCATTAAACCCAGAGCTGTTTGGATCCCTCAGGAAAGGACTGATTGTGGACACAGAGATATCCAAATAGTTATCAAGGGGGATTCAGTTTTGGAAGTGGTGAAGTGTTACGTTAGCTGATTTTCTGAAGGGAAACCTTTCCCTATGTCCACTCTGTAATCTCTACTTTTGTAAGCAGAGGAAAGTGAACCATTCATGCCTTGGTGATTCAATGTCAGCCCTGTAAAACTACACTTCCTGGCAGGTCCTGGCCACTGGGCTCCGCCCTCCCTGAAGTCTCAAGCCACAGTCTCTCCTGCCCACGGAGATGCTCTTACCGCACCCAGTGTGCGTGTGCCTAACCTCGCGGCTCCGGATGACTTGGTGACCATGGCCAAGACACCCTCCTTCACTTCCCCCACTGCCCGGCACAGCGTGAGACCTCCACTGCCAGTCTCAGTGCTTCCTGAATGAACCTAAACGAGAGACGCACTTTGCCTCTGGCGTGCCGTCAGTTTACACTCACTTCCCTGTAAATACAGATTTCAACATGAAGAAAGTCTAAGACCTCAACTTCACATCATCCTCTGCTCTAGCAAAGGAGTTCAACCTGCTCCGGCCACATCCAGACATAAGGGCTGGGCACTGTATTCCCGGCTGGGACAGTGAGTCATTTCTCCAGGTTGCCCACTGCCAGGATTTAGGTACTCATTTTATAGTATTTTCAACAAACAATTAAGGAAGGCTTACCTAACAATATTTTATTCCATTGGTCATTTTATTACATGAGTAGAACTCAATTTAGATTCCATTAAATTGCAAGTTGGTGGGCAGGATAAATATTAATACGATATCCATGGGATTCTACACACAGCTCTACTCCGTATGCACAAACATTAGCACATTAGCCTTCGAGGAGGTGATTAATTGCCATTAATTCAGACTTCACTGTTTAAAAGAAGCTATGATCATTGGAACGGGCCGATATCCAATATGCAAAAGACATACTGCTAACAAGAGGAAGAAATAAGTGTTTTTAAGGAATCATTTGTATCATGTGTATTTGCTAATTATACACCCAGCTTCTTTTTCCTACCAATAAGCATTGTCCTCTACTCCCGAGGTTCTCAAACACAAGCGTGTATTAGGGTCACCTGGGCCCCACCGCCAATGTTGCCGATGCCACGCACTGAGACTGCGCCCGAGGGTTTCCAATTCAAGCAAGTTCCCAGGTGTGTTGATTCTGTCGGAGGGCCCTGTGTTCTGCAAACCAGTAAGCTACTCCACATCTTATAATCCGAATCTGACTGACACTCAGGGACTCCACAATTCAAGGTAAGCTCGGCCAGTTAGAGACAATCGCTCTGCCAGAAAGGTAGGAGAGCAGCAAATCCTGCGATCTCAGTCACGGTACCAGGTATCAATTATGTCACTCAGCACAAAGCACTGTCAGGCAGCCTTTCTAGCCAGGTTTCTCTGCTTAAAACTCTTCACTGGATTCTTATTGCCATATGGCTAAAAGCTTCAGACCTTTAACATGATGCGCCGCAGTTTGGTCTCTGCCAATGTTACTGGTCATCTCTTAGATCGCTGCCTTTTACCCAGACCTGCCAGCCCAAGCACCAAGATCTCTCGCCCTCTGGCCACCTGAATGTGCTGCTTCCCTTTGTCCAGACCATTCCCTCCTCTCCTTTGCTTAGCTCTGACTCTCCATCTTTCAGAACTCAGCTCCTGCCTCTCTTGGTCAGGAAGGTGTCCTACAAATGGGTTGCGTCCCTTGCACATTCCTACCACTTCACCCTGCAACACCTCATGCAGCACCCGAGCTGCGGTGTTCCAGGTGCAATGCTCAGCACACTTCACTATAATTAGGTGGTGTTTTCCTTTCTGACCTTTCTTCTTCTTAAAAAAAAATTTTTATTTTATTGGTACATTTTAGGTGTACAATATAATGACATTCATCATTGGGAATTTGTACCTTTACATACTCTCTCTTGGTTCTTATTTTCTCCCCCTTCCCCTGCCCTTTCTTCTTTATTAGTCTATAACCTCTGTGATGGTAGAGAATGGGGATTTTATTTATTGCAATGTTACTGACATTGATGGTTAAGAATGGTTGGAGGACCCAGCTAACTGCAACAGGCAACAAAGTTTTCCTAATACTGAATCTCCGAATTAGACACATCTAGCAGGGCTGATGTTAAAATTCCACAGAGCGCTACAGAAGCAAGTTCCTTTTATTATCACATAGCCGAAAGCATTCATTCTCACTCACAGGGAGTGCTTTCTCTGGTCCGCACTGTTCCAGCGACTGACAAAACTACTAAACAGAACCAGCAAAACTCCCGCCCTCCTGGAGCTGGGATTTTACTGGAGGACAGTATGACATAAACAATACATGTTTAAAACTTTTGACTTCATCTCCCTAATGAGTGTATAATTCAATCTTATTATTGTACTGGTTAGTATTTTTCTGATTCTAGAGTTGCACACCATTCCTTGTGCT